TATCCCATTCTGTCTTCTCTTCCTAACACGCACTGGGGGAACATAACCGGTGGTAACACAGGAACACTGTATTTAATACAGTATATCATCGTGCGACACATCGGCTACCTGTATTCGATGTTCATCGGACTTCGAGAAGAAACTCTTATTTTTGGTATTCAGACGTTTTAGTCGGCGACACTCTGCAATGTCTAGTTCGTTTGCCAATACTACTGTGCCGCAGCCGTCATTATTATTGGCTGTTTCCAAAGCAGTTTTGTGGTTTTCTGTATTATATGTCCCCTGAAGATAGCCAGTTTGCACTCTCCAGCTGTTAATCTTTACTGGGTTAAGACACAAATGGATGATGATGCAGAATTCGTTTGGTGCCCATATATTGAATAAGATACACGAAAGTTTGTTTGGAAGGAGAAGGCCAAATAAGCTTTGAGAGGAGACGTCACATGGTGAATGGATGATGCCGTAAATGGGCTGTTTATTCTAGTCTGAAATGCCCAAGTCGTGCTATTCGACTGTAGAGTAGATGGGACGACATATTAGCAGAGATGATGCTGTTATATCGGAGTGTACTCAACTAAAAATTAGCTTGGTATCTAACTTGCTCCAACTGCTTGTCATTTAAGTAAAAAATAAGTCTGTTTGCTCGCTGCTATCATTGTTTTATTCGTTTGAATTTTAAAACTCTTACCGGAACTCATCGGCAGGAATAAATGCATGTGGCAGATTGGTTATTTTAGATGTTCCGCAGACGTGCGGTGAACATTTCGTTAGATTATAAGTTCAACGAAACTATATCAAATTTCTGCAGCTTGGAAAATTTCTGTCCAAATCCCAATGTACTGCAGGATTTATGATGTAGCATAGTTTTGGGCAAAGTTCAAAAATGCATCGATACCTTTTGTAAAATCTCAATTAACTGTAATCTGCCGCTTAACTCGCCTGCACTCCTTTCACAGAAGAGCAAAGTATAATGAAGGTCCTTGAGAGCGAGAGTTCACGCACGCCTATATTGGCATTCCTGGATTAGAATTAATCGGTATTATATCCACCTAGTGTTCTGGAAGTAGGTCGTTAATCTACAGACAGGTGCCACGCGTCGAAAAAAACTTAAAAAA